GGAAAACAGAGGAAGATCCTTGCTTGGCAGAGGGCTGAGTGTGACGTCTGCACCTAGGCTGTCTCCAAGGAGGCTCACCTGGAATCTGTCATGCTGGGGACCTGCAGAGGGATGCCAGCATCACTTGGAAAATGGCTCTGGTTAAGACTGGAGTTGGAGCTTGCGATGACTGGCAGCAAACTCTCTTGCTCTCTGAGCCATCTCACTAGCCTTAAGATGTTCCTTGAACTCACAGAGATCCACCTGCCTCTGCCTCCCAGGGCCGGAATTAAAACCGTGCGCCAACAATCCCAGCTGGATTTATTTAATTTCTAGTATGTAACAATAGACTAGAAAACAATGTCATGAACTCCACATGTCCACCCAGCTTCAAAAATTAGGAATTTAGTGGCCAGTCATGTATCATCTTTATCTATCCCTGAAGTGTGGGTATTTTGAAGAAAATCCCAGAAAATTATGTAAGGTAGAGAAGTGACTCATCCCTATATATTTTTAGGAATGTGTTTCTGAACATTATGAAGCAAAGTGTTTTTTTAAAAGCGGGGGGGGGGGGGGGGGGGGGGGGTAGCACACGGGACAGAGAAATGGCTCAGTGGTTAACAGCACATAACAATGCTTTTCCAGAAGACCTGCGTTCAGTTCCTAGCACCCATGTCAGCAATCTCACAACCACCTGTCACTCCAGCTCCCGGGGATCCAACGCCCTCTTCTGGCCTCCGGGGGCACTGCACACACATGCAGAAACCCACACACAGACATGCACATATATACACATAAGTTTTTTTTGTAAAGATTTTATTTATTTATTAAGTATACAACATTCTGCTTCTATGTATATCTGCATACCAGAAGAGGGCACCAGATCTCACTACAGAGGGTTGTGAGCCACCATGTGGTTGCTGGGAATTGAACTCAGGACCTCTGGAAGAGCAGCCAGTGCTCTTAACCTCTGAGCCATCTCTCCAGCCCTACACATAAGTTTTGAAAAATAAAATTAAAATAGAAAGCACAACCACAATGCGTTATTATGCACAAATGCCAATGGCTACAAATTTCCCTAACTACTGCCTAGTTTTCCATTTTCTTTTTAAAATTTTGGCGGCGGGGGGTGGGAGGAGAGGGAGAGTTTCTCTGTGTGGCCCTGGCTGTCCTGGAATTCACTCTGTAGACCAGGCTGGCCTCGAACTCACAGAGATCTGCCTGCCTCTGCCTCCCCAGTGCTGGGATTAAAGGTGTGCGTCACCACCCCCCAGCTGTCCCCAGCATTTTTAAATAAAAAATCGACATAGTGGCATATGCCTGTAATTCCAGCACTCGGTGAAGTCCAGGCAGGAGACTCATTGGTGCAAAGTCACCCTCAGTAAATTCAAGGTCGGCCTAGGATATTGTCTCAAAAAAAAAAAAAAGTCTGAAATTGTATGTATTTGTTTTTCAAGTTAGCATGTGTATTTGGATGCCGACAGGCGCCAGAAAAGGTTGTCCCAATTCCTTGAAACTGTAGTTACAGGCACTTGTGAGCCAGCTGATATGGGTGCTGGGATCCGAACTCTGGACCTCAAGATGGAGCTGCAAGTGTTCTTAACTGCTGAACTCTCTCTCCAGGCCCCTCAGATCTGAGATCCTATTTATAAAATAAAGAGAGGCGTTTGGCTATCAACTTTGAAATGAGAAACAACTCCCGGGCCTCGAAAGCAACACACACTAAGCGCACACAGAAGAGGGTCCCAGCAAGGGAATGCCTAGAAGCACTCAGTCCTTGAGGCATTTAATATCAGGACTTTGTGATGGCCACTGCTGCTGCACTGAGGAGCAGGACAAACCTTCCATCAAACAGTCCTGCTCCGGGTCTTCTTCTGGCCTCCGTGGCACCAGGAACCTCTGTGTGTTCTGAGA